TTCAGGTTCCATGCATGACCCCGAAAACGTGCGGGCCCATAGAGATCCCACGAATATTATTTCTGGTATTAGTAGCCATGGGTGGCTACTAGGTGGGCCCGAAGTGCCGACGAAATCAAAATATAGGTTTTCGAGAAAATTGAGTTGACGTGTTGGTTTCGAAATTTCTGGTTTATTCGGAAAGTGGCAAATATTTTTGTTTGCCGCCTTGTGTCCTCGAAGGGTCTTGTATAGTGCTAACCACTGGCAAAATTTAATTGCGCTGCGTGCACGCAATCCGGCGCACAGGCGGAAATAGTGATTTGGAGGGGGTGGGGCCGGAATTTTGATCCGCCCCCCACCCCGCACCAGTTGAGATATCGAAATTTTGCTTTCGGGGTCATGCATGGGACCTGAAGGAGCATCGATTAGCGTATAAAAATTAAAATTCCCAGCGGGTCACTTTTCGTCTGTCGAGTTGGCGTGGACAGCGCCCGCCGCAGTCCGAGCGGCTGCCCGCTAGGTTGGAGTGAAAATCTGGGATTGAACAAGTATACCTGGAAAAAGTACTTCAAGATATCCCAAGACTTGCGAAACAGTAAATTCTGGTTCAATGTCTGACCTTTAACCCCTCTCTAAGGGTTCGAAGTTGGGTCATTGAGGGAAATTGATACATTTCACCCCCCTGGGCTCCCGTAGGCATAATCCCGGGAATGGCTATATGCGGTTCGGTGTGGAATTTATATAAGGAGATAACTCAGGAGTCGATACGATGTGCGATAACATCTTCAGCTTGCCCACAAGACATTTTAGTTGACTAACTAAGGTTTAATTAGCAAGCTATTGCCGGCACTCCCCTCCCTGGTTTTTGTATATCACAGCGTGTCGTCCTATACATTATTAGGTGTGCTTTGACGCGACAGAACTGTTTCATTTTGGACTAATTGCGCTATGAAAATTGTTTTCCGATATGTAGCCAAAAAACGACGTGTTTATTTTTGCTAGAAAAAATCGTTTTTCACCATATTTCAAGAAAGGTCACCTGGAGGCCGAAA